TCTTGTTGTCACGGGCAGCATTGCCAGCCAATTCCAAGACTTCAGCAGCCAATATTCCATGACAGCGGCTAAATAGACGGGAGCACCGGCACCAACACGCTCAGCATAGTTGCCTTTGCGCAACAACGATGGATACGACCGACGGGGAATTGAAGACCAGCACGATTGGAACGGGACTTTGCCTTTCCCTTAACTTTGCCACCTTTACCACGACCAGACATTTTTCACTTTAGTTTAGTTTTAAACACTTCACTTAAGCACTGAAAAACACAAATGAATAAAAAATTTTCGGGCCGTAACGTGCTATTTATACTTTTCTCACACACACATTTCTTCAATAATGGGGTGGTTTGCCTTGGTGTGTGCCTGCTAGCTGTGACTACCTGAATTCTTGTCGACTACAATCTACAAATTCTGTATAGCTGCCGTTTGGTTATCATTTGTGAACAGTGTTAAAAGTGTTTGTGTGATTCAAAAAAAATAAAGTGAAAATGCCTCCTAAAACCAGTGGTAAAGCAGCAAAGAAGGCCGGCAAAGCCCAAAAGAACATTACCAAGGGCGATAAGTCGAAGAGACGTACCAAGCGTAAGGAGAGTTACGCTATCTACATTTACAAAGTGTTTGAAGCAAGTCCATCCCGACACCGGTATCTCCTCCAAGGCCATGAGCATCATGAACAGTTTCGTCAACGATATCTTCGAACGTATTGCCGCCGAAGCCTCTCGTTGGCCCACTACAACAAGCGCTCGACCATCACCAGTCGGGAAATCCAGACCGCCGTCCGTCTATTGTTGCCCGGTGAATTGGCTAAGCACGCCGTCAGTGAAGGTACCAAGGCTGTTACTAAATACCCACTCCAAGTAAATGTCTTGATATTTTTCATTTTCATGCGTCGAAATACTACCTAAAAGGCCCTTTTCAGGGCCACAAAAACATTTCAAAAGAGATCATATTTGTTGAAACTACAATTTATCATTATTTAGTAATAAACGAATAAAATTCCATAGAAATATATTTTTCTCTATACAATGATTTTCCATGCATTTAGCTAACTCGCATATGTGCCTATGTTTTGGCTTATGCTTGTGCGATATGCTATAACAGCCATCGTCGTCGTGTATGTGTGCGTGTGTTAGTGGTGATTTGCCTTGCCGTCGTTGATCAACATCGAATGGGCATCATGTATGTGTGAGCATTTTGTTACAGCACAACGGCAAAGCACGAAATATAAGGCTGAGGCAGAAATTTTCAAAGGAAAAAATGTATTGATGGAAAATGTAAATATTTTGCCAAAATGTCATTTTTGGATGAAATTCGTGAAATTAACAGAGAATATGAAAATGCAAATTTTCAAAATTAAGTAGAAATATAAAAATTGACCAAATTATGGGGATTTTCGAGAATTATGACCTGTGGGTATTAGGAAAATTTAAATATTTTATTATCTTTTATGACCTGGGTTAAAAATAATCCAGTGGCGTCCACGATTATATTGTTCAATAAAATTACCTAATAAGAACAGTAATTAGCGAAAGTAATTTTTTCAACACGTGTACAATTTTTTTTAGGTAACAAATATATACGATAACTGTTGAAATAAATATTTTTCTCTTTTTTAATTTAATTTGTAGCCCTGAAAAGGGCTGTAGATAGTATTTTTCGAATATCGAAAATATTGTGGAAAAGTAATCTTTCTGGGAAAAATTACTTCTTGGCGGCGGTTTCTTAGCAGCTGGCTTCTTTGCTGCTGCGGCCTTTTTGGCTTAGCACTGCAGTTTTTGCCTTGGGTGCCTTTGGTTTAGTGGCAGATGCTTTGGCGGCGGTCTTTGCTGGTTTAGCTTTAACTGTACCGGTTTCTTGGCAGCCTTTGCCTTTGTTTTGTCGGCCTTCTTCTTTTCAGCGGTCTTCTTGGCGGCAGAGGGTTTTTTGGCAGCTGCCTTCTTCTCACCAGCGGCCTTTTTAGGGGCAGCCTTCTTCTTTTTGTCACCAGCGGCTGGGGCCTTCTTCTTCTTTTCAGCAGTCTTGGCTTTGGGTTCCTTAGAGGCCGAAGCAGACAATTTGAATGAACAGAAGCACCCTTACCTTTAGTTTGGATCAATTTTCCACTGGCAACGGCACCTTTCAAGTACTTCTTGATGAAGGGGCCAATTTTTGGGCATCTACTTTGTAGGTGCTGGCCAAGTATTTCTTGATGGCGGGCAATGATGAACCTCCACGTTCCTCAGGGTCTTGATGGCGGCATCAACCATTTGCTGGTTGGAGGGTGGGTAGGGCAGCTGATGGCTTCTTTGCTTTGGCAGCGGCTTTTTTGTGCCTTTTTCCTCAACAGCGGCAACTGGGAGGCGGTGGCTTCAACAACGGCGGCGTCAGACATGGTTATTCACTGTTTGGGTTTATATTCACTGTTAACACAAATACACTCACAAATTTATGTGTACTATTATTTTTGTTAGCGGCGAGCTAAAGTGTAGGTACATCGAAAAGATGAGATGTGCATAGTAGTCAATTGTAAATTTTTCGAAAGATTGTGTGGAAGCGTGTTTAATTTTTTACAAAAGTGTTTCGGAGAAATTAATTTTCCTGAAGAAGCTTGATAATTTCACTAAAATGTTTAGTATACCTTTAAAGTATAGATTTCAGGCTATGTTTTAAAGAAAGTTTGGTGTAATTATCACTTGCCGTTTGTGAATTATAAACGTTTAACTTGGCAGATTATAAAAATGTAATCACAAATTTCCAACTAAAATTAAAAAAAATCAAATTTTTATGAAAAATTAATTGAAAATTCTTTTTGAAAAATGTAGCCTGATATGTTTACTTTAGGATCAAAGAAAAATATCGATGAAATTTCATATTTTACTATGTGAAAAAATTGAAATTATTATGTGGTCTATGACAGCAGAATCCTCTTGTTGGCATAATTTCAATGAAGAAAAGTTTTTCTTGAAATAAATTTGAAAGCTCAATCTTAATAAGGTTTATAAAAATTTCTTAAAAAACATTTCAGAATTTGTATATTTACATCAAAATATAACATTATTCACAAAAAGTCATAATTTACGGGGAAAAGTTACAAATCCCCAGATACTTCATACTACCAATGTACAGGCATTCACTGACAAACGGTTATGTATTTTCATTTTGGCAATATTTTTTTGAAATTTTAACATATTGTTCTATAATTTATAAAAATAGTATTAGAAGCATTTTCTACGTTATTTTGTCAATTTTTGTTAATTTATAAAAAAAATATTCCCAAAAAGAAATTCCTCTTTACAGGCAAATATCACCTAGAACACTTGGAAATGTCATGAAATTAATTGCGTTTTACAAAATGATTTTCGATCAACTTCAAAGGTAGATATTATTGGAATTCCTTTTTATAATACTTTTAATTATATTTTACATCAAAATTATCAACAAATCAATTATTTTCTTCTTCAATTTTTGAAAATAATAAATTATTACCAATTTCTTCAAATACATCGGGCAAAACTAATTTTGTAAATCCATACGGAGAAAATTCATATACAAATCTCTTAAAATGCGTTAAAACATTTAAAAATGTTTGCTGAAAGGAATAAAACATATTTCATACATCATTCCTGAAAAAAATTAAATACGGGGGGCACATTTAGCTGGAAATTTTTAAAATGCACATGAAATAATTCTTAGAAATTAAAGGCAGAGAATTTTTTTCCCGTTAAATTGAATAGTCCACAACAGAAAAAATGATCGAAGGGGAATAAAATGAGAGAAATAGACAAATTTCGCGCCAAAAATCATAAAGAGAGCAATTTTTGTTTAAACGGGAAAAGGAAAAAAACAAATGGACAAAAAAAATCCCGTTAGCAAATGTATGTGGTGGTTGTTTTTATGAGTCCTAGCATTTTTTTCGAAGAGGGAGTACAAAAATGATAATAATTTTGCAAATTAAAGGAAAATATCAAATGGATATTCAAAAAATTCAAATAAAATTAAAAAAATAAATATTCGATCAAAATAAAATAAAAAAAATTAAATAAAAAAATAAAGTGTCGAAAAATCATCAACGAAAAAAAAAAAAAAAACAACATCAAAAAATATATCTTTATTATAAAAAATGTTAATTGTTGAAAAATAATCATAGCCCTAAATTATTTTTATTTATTTCAAAAAAATACTAAAAATTGTAGATTGAGTAAAAATATCTCTTTTTGTAAAATATTTGTGGTCCTGAAAAGGACCGATTGTTTGTTGTAAAATTGTTGCTTTTAAAACGTCAAGAATTTAAGCACGTTCTCCACGAATACGTCTGGCCAATTGGATATCCTTAGGCATGATGGTGACACGCTTAGCATGGATGGCGCACAAGTTAGTATCTTCGAAAAGACCAACCAAGTAGGCTTCACTGGCTTCTTGCAAGGCCATAACAGCAGAGCTCTGGAAACGCAAGTCAGTTTTGAAATCTTGAGCGATTTCACGAACCAAACGTTGGAAGGGCAATTTGCGGATCAACAATTCAGTACTCTTCTGGTAACGACGGATTTCACGCAAAGCAACTGTACCAGGACGGAAACGATGAGGCTTCTTAACACCGCCGGTGGCTGGGGCACTCTTACGGGCAGCTTTGGTAGCTAGTTGTTTACGGGGAGCCTTTCCACCGGTCGATTTACGGGCAGTTTGCTTAGTACGAGCCATTTTTCACTTGAATTTTTTTCACTTCACTAGAGATATGCACACAAACAAATTTCAATTTTCAATTTTGCCTATGGCCATATTTATTTGGTAGATAATCTACGAACTAACAGGAATGGCTTACTGTGCTAAAAAACTTAACTATATATAGCTATTCGCTATCTACTACTATTTACATAAAAATACGCTATGCTCTTGGCATCTAGCAACTATATACTTTAAATAAAAAGGAAAAAACTTAAAAACATATATGCCCCAAAAATTCCAAAATTAAAAATCGGGCGAAATCAGCTAATTTTAAAATTTAAAACTAAAACGTAAATCTAAAACTTAAATCTAATACTTAAAGCTAGTTTCTACAAACTACTATTTACAATATATACAATATTTACATTTACTGTGTACTATTGTACACAGTATCTTCTACATCAAGGGTGTTGTAACGTCGATGGTAGAAACGAAGCTCACCATCGACGTACAACAGCCCTTCCTCATTCATCCTTTTCAAGGCACCCGGGGGCAGGTACCTTACAGTCCTCAGTGCATCCGCGTCCAGGGTGCATCTCAGAGCGTTCTCCACAGTACTGTTGTTCAGTCCGTCCGTCTTGTCTAAGAATTCCAGTGCTCCTGAGACCAGGACCCTGTCAATTCTTTCCCCACCTGCCCTGTCATATATGGCCCTATTAGAGGTCCTCCTGACAGTTCCATCCTGACTAAATGTTAGTTCTCTCATGCCTAAACATGAAGTCAGGACACTACGCTCCCACCTCCTAAGCCTCTCCATCTGGTTGGATGAGATGCCAAACCAGACCGGAAAAGCGTAGGCAACAATAGGTCGCATTATTTGCCGATATAACAGCAACTTAACTTCGGGAGTTAAGCCATCCCGCATCTTCATCAGCCCTTGATAGCTGAAGAAGACCTTTCTCGCTCTGTCCAGGATAAAATCTAATGTGCCTTGAAGTCAAAATTCTTTTGAAAAATGACCCCAAGATATTTTATCCTGTCCTTTATTTCCACAATATGAGGTCCAACTTTCACGACCGGATGGTACCTTGTGAAATTTGGACGAACATATCGAGTATTCCCGGTAAATACAATTGCCGAACATTTGTCCCCATTTAGCTTGAGGCCCCATATGGTAAAGAACCTATATAAGACCTCAAGATAAATGTTCAGACGTGCTTCCGCTGTACGAAGTAATGGGGCCGTATACGCCACAAGCACATCATCGGCGTATGATAATGCTAACCCTCCACGTGGAGGTGTAGGCATGTCACTGACATAGATGTTAAACAACATCGGCCCTAGGAGGGAGCCCTGGGGCACGCCAGTCAGTACAGGTCTGCGACTAGATAGTCGTTCACCTACCCTAACTCTGAAATACCTATCAGACAGGAAACTTCCTACTAACCTAACAGTTTGGTGATCAAATCCAAACCGTTGCATTTTAAACAATAAACCTTGATGCCATACGGTATCAAAGGCTTTAGAAAAATCAAGTCCAACTGCAATAGTGCCATCCCTATTGTTGAGACCTGAAACCACATAGGATGAGAGAGCAGTTAGGGCATGGACAGTGGATAGGCCTGCCCTAAACCCGAACTGATTGTCCTTCAACACCCTTTTATCCTCTACGAGTTTATTTAATCTTTCCAAAATGAAAGACTCGAAGAGTTTACCGAAGGCCGATAAAAGTGATATCGGCCTATAGCTGCTACATTGTCCCAGAGGTGAACCCCTCTTAAATATGGGAACCAACATAGCCTCTTTCCATGCCCTGGGAAAATAGCCCAGGTTCAGACAGTGATTAAATAACACTGCCAGGAACGTGAAAATAACCTCTCCCGCCTTTTTAAGGCGGTATCGGGTATTCTGTCCAAACCGCAGGATTTACGTGCTGGCCTACGGGCAATTGCCCTACCCACACAACCGGCGCGAAGAAAACCACCCTCGTTCCAACGAGTGGCGTTTTCAACAATAGCCCCATCTGCAGTAAATGTATCGCCGAAATTTACCATGGGGGACCGATCGCTGATCCCCTCGGTAGCTCGATTAACTGAGCTACGGAGGGCATCATGTTCCCCAGGAAACCGATTAACTGGTCCTCCTGAGAAATTAGCACTCGGTCCTCCCATGGCCGGCGAAACACCCTGCACATGGTCTGCCAAGGCTTCTGCCTTTTCACCGTCGTCCGTAATAAGTCGACCTGTATTGTCCACTAACTGACTTACAGGTTCTCTAGTATCCAGTCCTGCTGCCCTTTTGACTTTGTCAAAAGTTTTCCCATCAACTCTTATTCTCCCTAAATAATCTTTGAGTCTATCTTGTTCGAAAATTCGAACAGAGTCCTCAATTATGCGATCCAGATTTCTGATATCGGCTCTAAGAGCAGGAAATCTATCTGGATCACCAGATCTACGGAGAGTGCGGCATAGCCTGCGACGCTCACGTATAAAGCCCAAAATTCTCGGAGGAAGATCTCCAAGAGTTTTAGGCCTGACTCTCTGTTTAGGTACAGAGGTCTCTATAGCATTGCGGAAAATCTCACCTAGATTTTCCACACACCTATCTACCTCATCTATTGAAGCATTTCTGTTAGATGGTAGCGTGCACTCATCTAGCCCTAATCTAAGCTGACGCCTAAATCGTCCTACATTCATGCGATTGAAGTTCAGAAATTTCTGTCCTTCATGT